GGCACTGGCACCCACGGCCCTGGAGAGACACCCGGAGGGGCCAGGGGCTCCCCAGCCCCCCCTTCACCTTTTGCCTCCCCCAGAGGAGCTGGGGAGGCTGTTGGGGGGATGGAACACTGGGAGCCCCCACATTCCATCCTCCATGCAGAGGGGCTGGAGTACTTATTCTGCCTGGTTGAACAGAACTGGCAGGATCCATGATGTCATGATGAATATCTGGCCTTTGAGGTGTTGATGATCTTCCCTTATCACCTCATGAAGTTAGATAAGGCCAAGTGCAAGGTCCTGCACCTGGGTCTGGGCAATCCCAATCACAAACACAGGTTGGGCAGAGGTGAACAGAGAACAGCCCCGAGGAGAAGGACTTGGGGGTTTTGGTTGATGAGAAAAAGTTCGACATGAGCTGGCAGCACTTCCAGCCCAGAAATCAACTGTGTCCTGGGCTGCACCTAAAGAAGCGTGGCCAGCAGGTCAAGGAAGGGGATTCACCCCCTCTGCTCTGCTCCTGTGAGAATGGGGACCTGGAGCACTTTGTCCAGTGCTGGGGCCCCCAACACAGAAAGGACCTGGAGCTGTTGGATGGAGTCCAGAGGAGGACAGAAAGATGATCCGAGAGCTGGAGCAGCTCTGCTCTGGAGCCAGGCTGGGAGAGTTGGGGTGTTCAGCCTGGAGAAGAGAAGGCTCCAGGGAGACCTTAGAGCAGCTTCCAGTGCCTGAAGGGGCTCCAGGAAAGCTGGGGAGGGACTTGGGACAAGGGCAGGAAGGGAGAGGACAAGGGGGGATGGATTGAAACTGGAAGATGGGGGAGATTTAGGTGAGACATGAGGAGGAAATTCTTTGCTGTGAGGGTGGTGAGAGCCTGGCCCAGGTTGCCCAGGGAAGCTGTGGCTGCCCCATCCCTGGCAGTGTTGAAGGGCAGGTTGGATGGGGCTTGGAGCAGCCTGGGCTGGTGGGAGGTGTCCCTGCCCATGCAGGGGTTAGAACTAGATGAGCTGTAAGGTCCCTTCCAACCCAACTATTCCATGATTCTGAGGTTCTATGATTTATTAGGGAGCTGCTGCTGGAAGTTGTTCTCTGTGACCTGGTTTTACCAGCAGGTCTGGTGCCTCAACTTGCTCTTCTGGCCTCAAACTTCATGTTCCTGATCCTGCCCTTTGGGTAAAAAAAAGCTCCAGCTCTCTGAAGGTGTTCAGGAGCTGGAGGTGCTGGGTGGCTGTCACTGCAGCACGTGCCCTCAGGAATGTCACCTTCTTTCCAGACTCTCCCTGGAGGGTCACGGTGGACGTGAAGAAATGCTCTGACTTGACCCACAGTGCAGGTCTGGGACTGAGGGAGCTCTCCTCCCCCCAGCAAGATGGAGATGAGCCCTTCTGGGTGACCAGCACCAACTCCAAGGTCAGAGAGAGACCTAACACTGTTCTGGTCTGCTCCACAAACCCTCTCTGCCTGAGGTGGGAATGGGGTTGTGCTGGAGACTGTTGGGCTTTGGGTTTTCTTTCCCTTCTGTCACTGGGCCCTCACAGCTCTGCAGGTGACCTGGAAGTTCTCTGCCCTCTGAGTGGTGTGAGGATGGAGATAAAACCACCACGTGTTACAGGGAAGTGTCCTCTACCCAGAGATCACAGAATCAGAGTAACTCAGTCCTTGGAGGGGTCTCTGCTCCAATGCCCCAACTCAAAGCAAGAAAAACAACCTCCTTATGAAACCTCTACTGAAAACAACCCCCTTAGCAACCCCTGGGAAAGGGTGTTTCCTTCTGACGGCCTGAAATGCCCTCTCCTTGCACCATCAGTGATCTACCCAGATGCTTCAGAAATCACTCGGAAATGGAAACTCCAAGTTAAATTGTTCCAGACAGAGAAAACCTTCTGGGATAAAGCTGGACTGGTTGGTCCTGAAGCAACCAGTGCGTTCACACATGAAACAACCTGAGGGTCACATCAGTGAAGATGAACTGATCTGTTTCCATCAGAATGGAAAGTCATATTCAAATTATTTTCCAGAGCAGCTTGATAAAATCTGTTCCCCTGGAACTTGTCAGTGCCGTTTTGTTGCCACTTCACCTAAATCCATCCCGTTGGAGCCTTGCAGGCAGCTCCTGTGTTGTGGCTGGACAACGGCCACTAGAGAGGGACAGAGACCAAGTGAGTCCCAACTTGAGCTTGAAAAGCAGCAAAGGGGCCAAAGAGACCGGGCACAGGGATGGGTGGGAGAAAACAACGCCACGGGGGCTCAGCAGCTGGAGAGAGGACAGAGGCTCCTCCAGCAACAGCTCCTGCCCATCTGGAAGGAAACAGCCACCGACTGTCCTGCTGGGCACACTTTCTCTGCAGAACATTCACTCATCTGCTAAACCTCCCAGCTTGTCTCTACCTCACCAATTAAATTCGGATTAAAATCTCCATTGCATGAGCCAGAGATGTGGGTCCCATCCTCCAAGAGCAGGAGGAGGCTCCACACACACAGGCCTCCTGCTCCTGCAGCTTGTGTAATCCAGCTGCAAGACACAGCAAGTGGGAAGGAAAATTAGGCAGCGTGAAGGGCTTTTTTCCAGAGGTGGGTGAATCAGCATTTACTGCCCAGACGTGTGACTGGAAGGTGCTGGACGATGCTGTTCTCCCAGGGTGGCTAATGGGCTGTGGCTCATTCCGTGATAATAGCCCGGGGCTGGGAAATGTGGACTTGCCAGCAGCTTTGCCTCTGCCCTAGGGCTGGTCTGGGCACTTTTCTTTCTGGATTTTCCCCTGGAAAATCAGGCTGACACTGTCAGTGTCATGTTAAAGACTGAACACATCAGGAGATCAGGTGGCCTGGAGAAGGATGTTAAAATCTCACCCAGAAATACTGGCTTCTTGTCATCTCGTGTCCCCTTCTTAAGGCATGCCAGAGGCATCTGTTTTCAGAAAATGCTTTTCCTTCCCTGAAGACAAAGCCCCATCCTGGAATAAATAAATCTCCAGCAGCAGCTAGAAGATGAAGTAGCTGAAAGGGGACAGGAAATTCTCACAACCACTTTAAAGCCAGGAACACAAACCCTTAAGGACCCACACCCAAGAGCCCAGCAGGGCAAGGCAAGGTCCTATTTATAGCCCAGACCTGAGACTGATTAAGCCATCAATTTAGCCATCCTTCTTCCCCTCCTCTA